GCTAAAGCTTTAGTCGAAAACTGGATAGCCAACTTTGGTGTCCCATCAATTATCACTACAGACAGAGGTGCCCAGTTTGAAAGCCGACTGTTTGACCAACTAACTGAATTACTAGGCATTAAACGAATACGAACGACAGCGTATCATCCTAGTTCCAACGGTATGGTCGAACGATTTCATCGACAACTCAAAGCTGCGCTCGCTGCTTCTTTGACTCGAAACGATTGGTCAACCAAACTTCCACTAGTATTACTTGGTATACGAGCTACTATAAAGAAAGATATTGGCTGCTGTGTTTCCGAACTAGTCTATGGAACAACATTACGATTACCAGGAGAATTTTTCACCCCGGGTAACAAGTTCCACACGATATGACTGGTTACGTGCATCAGCTAAAACGACACATGAACGAGCTAAAGATATCAATTCCACGTCAGCAGGAACGAGCGTCATACATCCCGTCACAACTGACAGATTGTACTCACGTCTTCGTCAGGAGAGAAGGTGTACAACGACCACTTCAACCCGCTTATGATGGCCCATTCAAAGTTCTAAACAGAAACGCGAAAGTTATCACGATAGAAAGATTGAATAAAACAGAAGCCATCAGTATCGACAGAGTCAAACCAGCGTTCCTCGACGATTTCGAAGTCAACGATAAGAACCAGCTGAACGACGTGCCAACACCTACATCTACACAAGCTTCAACGTCGACAGAGAAGCCTGCGAAAACAACACGATCTGGTAGACGAGTCCATTGGCCTAAACGTTACGTGCAAGTCATCGAAATATAACTTACTACGAATTTTCATTTTTATTATCTTTATTCGTAATTGTCATTTGATTACTCATTTAACTGATTAATATTTTCATACATAAATCACGTCACTATTATTTTAACATCGATATTTCCTATATTATTATATTTAATCACATCTCGTATATTATTCACGTATCGTTTTCGTCTACCGACTACAGATCCCCGGACAATTTTATCGTTCCTTATATATTCTATTACGATTAGTAATTCCACTTTCCCTAGATTATCGCATTTATTATCGACGTTATTAACCGCATTAAACTGCTCATTTTTCAGCTTAATAAATCGCCTTCTGTGTACTATCGCTGCTACGTATTACGCTGACGCATGTTATTTTCGAACACTTAAATGTATTTTTTTTATATTTTAGTGTTCTGGTGGGGGAATTATGTAGTACCCCTATACCAACTGTAAACATGCTTTTTAATCTAATTTGTATACTTGCATTATATGTGTATACAGACTGATTTTATATATACTTCGCAAATACTTGTCCATTCACTGTTGAATATTACCTTGACACAATTTCGAATTTGACTACTGCTTCAATACATATTCGTATTCTTCACAAGTGCCTTTTGATTTACGTTGTGGGCGTCGAGTAGCCACAACGTCTGCGCACATCAATAAGAGCGAAGAAATACATAGAATATATGTGTACAGCAGTTTAGTCAGACAACGCACGCAACAAATATAAATCAACAATAATTTTGATGCATTTATTTTAAGTCGAAAATGGGATTATGCAATTTTGGTTACTAGGCGAATGTAATTCAACTACCATTTCTATAAATTTAATGTGTCCTGAATTATTACATGTAGAAATATATATATGTAGCAACTAATCTACTTTTTTAAGTTGTCACTTCAATGACTTGTGGGAATTGTGCCTACTACGTCAGCATAAATGAAGTAAATTGACAAGGTCAAGGCCAGTGGTATATAAGCACTGAAATATATACTAGTGTGTATTTACGCTAGTCCAAGCTTAATGTGTCCTGTGAGGGGTGGAACAGAGCTGTAGCGGTAAATAATTCCCCAAAATTATTGACCACAGCAATCACTCATTGGATGCTGACCACCACTGTTTAAGTCGACTTGTTTAGCTGAAGGCTCCCGGTCAAGCACCCCCGCCATTTGGTACCCCGTCGTGTAACGTGCACGATCACTAGCTAGCTAAGCGTTCGTCTATCGGCTGGTTTTGGTTCCTAAATACATTTCTTCGTTTGGACGACCAATAATTGTCTTTTGCTTTGTCTTTGGTACGCGAGAATAAATTAATTAGAAGTTGTTGAACGAGATATCACGTCAAACCTTTAATATCCGTCAACCTTTAAAGAGCGTATAAGTAAACCCAGTCGGTTCGATTTACTTTCAATCATGATAAGAAACCAGCTCTTAGTTTTAATCTCAAACAATTGCAGAATGGTTAGACAGTTTACCTATTGAATAAGGTTACTATATTAGAAAAGTATACCTTATCTGGCTAAATCATTGCAGGTTCACCATAACCCTTGACTACCAACATAAAAACTGGGAGCTTCAAGCTAAAAATCACCTTAATAGTAGTATCCAGTGACATAAACTGATCTACACACTGCTAAATGGGAAAAACATGCAAAAGAACCTTTAAAATTCAATGGAAGTCGAATTCACGAAGACATATAACCAGCCGACGCAGGAACCCACCATGACCTTGAAACTGACTGTGGCCTCTTTCCTATTATGGATGGTGCGTTCAAGGTCATTTGTGCGTTGGTGCATAGTGGTGCTTCAAGTTTAAGTGTGCCAGTTGTTGCGTGTCAGCATACATTAGGTAGTTTCTCTTTCGTCTGCTATACTTTAGAATAACCGCATGTTTTTTGTGTAATTTTACTACCCCACACAGTTCATATATCCGAAATTAGAAGAGATAGAGAGGGTTTTGGTATAACTACGAAAAAACTTCACAGCAGCTCATGCACTGCAGTGCATTGTCGTTGCTCTTCTTTCTATCTCCATGCTTCATAACATGGTACAACAAGCATTTTTTGAAACTTAGGTCTCATATAATATTATATAAGAGCCTATATAGGCTCTCTGAGGTTAATCCATTTATAACTACGACAAAATTCCATTTAACATTGTTTTATCCGTACGGATAATGGACTATAGTCCATTTCTATAGTCCACAGAAATCCTAAACTCTTGGAGTCACATAATCTCGTTAGTTATTTATGTTGACTGAATTTGCGTGAGGTAGGCGTGACATTCAGGATATCATCACACAGTCTGACAAGACAGGCGGTCATACCCTGGTAAAGTTTAGATTAGGATGAAGCACGTCACCTTTCTGTGAAACCGTCGCATAAAGACACAGATTACTTTACAAAGCTTATCTGCTTAAGGCAGTCAAAACTGAAGACTAGGTGATACATTTAAGTGGCGTAGAAGGACTAACATTTTTATGTTGCTAGCGATCCGATCCCAACTATTTCACCTTCCGTTTTCTATTATTATTTTGTTAGGCTTATCGACTTTTTTATTTGCATCAATCCTCAAATAAAAATTTCACCTCGAAAAACCCCAAAATTGCTATTTTTTATTTAACTTTTTCGGTCTTTAATATATATATATATATATATGTATATATATGTATATATATATATATATATATATATATATATATATCTTATTGATAATCGTGCAGTTAACACTGGAACTTGTCTTTTACATGAACCGGACTAAGGTGAGCAGTGGTAACTTATAGACATCTGTATGTATCACAGTCAGTCTGATATCATATCAGTTGGCGGGAAATCAGGTGTTGTTTTCGGTGTTATTCTGGGTGAAACAACGCATGTCAGCACCCGTAAGATGACATTCTCCAGTTAATTAAGTAGCCACATAAAATGTTAGTTTCGATGCCCATCACAACATTTATCCAAGTGTTGTGATATGTGAAGAGGCAACGTCTAGTGAGTGATGCCTCTGTAACTTGAAATACAAAACAGGTGTTTTTTCGACATGTAGTCAAGACAGAACTATGTGAGAACCAGTTAAGTGTAGCATTTAGAAGTTTTTGTGTAGTTTAGAGTTAGATAAGCTTAGTAACGAAGGTGCACATCTGTGGAAAGAAGCCCCACACAAAAATTTTGCGATTGATTGAAAAAGGCATCTGAAGTTCTAGTTCCCTGCAGCGAGAATTTTATTACATTCATGAAACAACCTCTGTCACCATTGGTATAATTGTTTACACTTTCATAATTGTCGGTTCTGTTTTATCACTGCTGATTCAACAATTTGTTAGTAGTAGTCTGAAAGACTATTTGCTGAAGCATAGTTCATATATCCAATGGGATATGCAGTTTCTAGCGGTGTTTTTAATTAGCTGCATTCGTCTGCGAATCCACAGTCATCTTAAAAGGTTAATGATTAAAAGAAGCTTGGTAAAAGTACGAAGTCCACATTGAATATTTTCTCAACAATGCCACCTAAAGTACTAATTAGTTGTCTGAATTCTTATCGACAATCCAGTAGTCATTTATAGCGCTGAAAGTTTTTATGTGTAGCTGAAAGATGTAACCTTTGGGTCTTTTAAAAAATGTATAAAAGCAAGCATTTGACCACTAATGCCTTTGTTGAGCCGCTGGAATGTAGCGCCAGATTGTTAGCAATATGGACGTTAGTTTGGAAAACTAAAAATACGTGATGACTTGATACAATATCTAACTACCATGTACATAAGACTATGTTTATTGGAGCTAGGGCTACTATGTCAAACTACTCCGATTTTCATATCAAACCGGTATTCCGAAAAGTACTTTAATTGCATACGGTTAAAGTACAATGGGTCAATACTCCCTTTTGGTTACTTCTCATAAATACTGCATAGGTTTAGAAATTACTGCAGCTCATGCAAAGCTGTAAAATAACGAATTTCCCTGTCCTAAAGGAAATTGTAAAAGCTTTCCGGTAAAGCTGTGATAAAACTCGGTGATGATACCTTCACGGTAAAATAAGGGAGCTCAGGATACATAATTTCGTTTTTATTCTTTGTTTGAAATGTTTTCTGCTTTTTTGAAAAACTATATTCTGTGAAATAATTACGACACGACTTGCTATCTACCATGAGAGCTAACTCAGTTTTTTGCCCTGGCTGAATTTCTTAACAGTTGTAAAACAACCAACTCAGACTAAAATGCCTAAAAAGAAGACTGGACAAAGGAAAAAGGCAGAAAAAGCCAAAGTAAGACAAAAATTACTTCGACAACAAAGATTAGAAATTGATCTCATCAATCATCCTTCTAATATAATAATGGTACGTGCGTATACTCGTCTAACCCAACAGAAAACAGGAGTGCGGTCAATGTGGGAAGAAACAAAAGAATAGAGCGTTTTGTTACTTTTGCCAGGCTGTGCAAAGACTTCCAGTGTGTTGTCATTGCGGTAAACAAAAGTGTTCTGCTCGTTCGGGAGATTGTCTTGTTAAACATGGTTCCACCCACGTAACTGGACTTGCTATGGTGGTACGTTTAATCATACTAGATTATTATTCTTATCATTTTACTTCGTCTATGAGTGACAAAAGCAGTGATGCATACCTTCCCAAAGTTGTTCTTCCCTGTTTTTTGTTTAGAATTTCGGGAAATGCCATGATGTTTATTGCCACCCACTAAATATTGACATAGTAATTCATGTTGTATGTTTAATTTTCAAAGCAAGCAGAAAAATATAAGGTTGATACAGGACTAGACATTAGCGCAACAAAAAAGGCAAAACAAAGAGGTTGGTGGAAGTTACTTTGTGTTCTCTGAGGTGTAGTTCCAGAAGTCAAAGAACAAAGCATTATCCCTGTTTTCGTTCTGTATCATAAATATGAATTATATCATAGAAAATCGTTGACCGATTGTTGTTTTTAGCAAAGTAAACAATATATATATTTGCTGTATTAAAGCAGACTTCCAACTAGTTTTCTGTGCAATTCAGGAATGCAGCTATCCATGAGTCGTTGCTATTCTACTTTATGTTTATAACACCCTATTTCGGGTAGCACAAGGATGTTTTTTAAACTAAGTTTGAAAGTTCACCCCGATGTATTAGATGTTTGAATTCCAAACAGCTTACATCGTGATACTGTTTTTCTGTTCCAACAGTCAGAATATGATAGTATCACTCAAATGGATAAATCAACTAAGTGAAGCCAGTTCATTTTAGACAAGCATCTTAACAGTGTATCATTTTCAAAATTTCTCATATAATATCTCTGGATAAAATAAACCAATGAGTGTCATCGATTAACATTCAAGAAGGAATTCGCAAATTAACCAGTAATGAAGCGGTTACATAAAATTCTTGTAGAGAAAGTGCGCAACGAAAAACGGTGAGGATTTCCAGTTATAAAAACATGTAAATATATTGAATCGCAACTAGAAGTTAACACTTGTATAGGAAAAAAGTCACCATGAAATAAAGCTAAGAATCTGAAATAGTAGTAAAAGTCATAGGGAGATTATAACCACTGTAAAATAAGCATTTTGACGCCTTGACTATCAGCAGAGGGAGCTTTCATTGCTAAAATTGATAAAGCAATTGCTCATTCACCACAATATATTAGCGAGATTTTAAAGGCTGTATATGAAGCAATTTTATTAAGTATCCTTTAAAAACACTAGTTTTTCGAACATCTTCTAGACTTATGTATGGCGTATACTTTTTCAAAAGTTACTTTTTTAAATTATTACCTGTGACATTAATTTACAGATTAATTCCATATTTCGGCACGGAAATCACTGAAGAGGTATTTTAAGCGTTATTTCACCAGCAGAGCATTGAATTTATTACACGCAACGATGCATTAACGCAGGTTTTCATAACTCAGAAGAGAAATAGCAGCAGCTATAAACAAAAATATAACCTAAGTACATAAAAATGTGATGGAGACATTTTACAATGCAATCATTAATTCTAGCAAGATGAATGCATTCACTGTTACTGAGCAAACTTAGTGATTTCATCTGCTAACTTATTACGTTTAACGTGCTAATCTGCTTTCAAATAGTTCCAATATACATAAGGCACATGTATATATATATATATATATATATATATATATATATATATATATATATATATATATATATATAATTACATTTAATGTCAACATTTTTTCATTAAATTTCAAAGGGAGCGATTTGCGATTTCTGTGATGCGTGGATTTGTCATGGGGAAAAGTGTTTATCAGTACATGCTTGCGAATGTCCTTTGAAAGATTCTACTTGCATTGAATGTCAACGTGGATTAGATAGTCATGGCGGTCGAGTCTTTTCTTGTGCTTATTGTAATCATAAACTTTGTGAAGATGATCAATTTGAGCATCAGGTAGGTTAAAGTTATACATCTGTATGGATCAGCAGTATCATGGTCTTAGTGTTGTCCATCAGATAAATTAAAACGGTCATCTATTCCACTATTGTACTTTTTTTGTGAAGTTTTGTGTACTTGTTAATGGGAATATTCAACCAGTTTATATATTTTGCTTGTATTTAACTATAATTACGTCTTTTGAGCACTGTAGTCGCAATCAAATTCCATATGTGACTCACAATTTCACTTTTATATCTACAATGTTGTCAACATAGAACTTGGCACCGAAGTGCAGCAGTTCGAGTTGCCACGTTCCAAATACCACACACAGGTAGATACGAAGATGAGTGAAGAGAATCAATGCAGTCTGACAAATATAAGAGTGAAACAGAATGGGTAATTGTAGAAAGGAAAATGAAAGATTACAGAGACTGAATACATCTGCGCCATTGACAACGATTTTGAGCCATGTCACCTACTGTCTCCAGCCATTGATTCCTAGAGTCCCGAGGGCCCCAACCAGGGAGTCTGCATCTCCCTACCCGACTCAGTTTAACTGTCAAGGATTTCATGGATTGATGCCATGTTTTTGTTTTGCCACCACTGGCTCTTTTCCAACCTGAACCTATATCAGCTAGCAAAGCCCGTCGGGGGAGGCGGTGGTTAGGCATGCGCAGCACGTGACCTAGCCATCTTAGTCTATGTAACTTTATAGCCTCGTCGATTGATTTTCCCTCTTTGCCCAACACTCTACGCCTAACGTCAACATTACTTATCTTGTGAAACCACCTGACGTGAGACAGAGATCGCAGACATCTATGATCGAAAGCAGTCAACCTTTTCATGTCTTCAACGCGTATTGGCCATGTTTCAGAGCCATAGAGAAGGACGGAGCGAACTGATGAGCAGTACACACGTCCCTTGGTTGATAACCGGATGTCACGCCTACGCCAGAGATGGTGTAAGTCAGCGAAAGCAGCTCGAGCTTTTCGGATCCGTGCTGAGATTTCATCGCCAATCAGTCCGTTGGTGCTAATAATACAACTTCCCAAGTAGGTGAAGTGGTCAACATGTTCTATCACTTCACTCCCTATCACTAAGTTAGGAGTTGACGGGGTCCAGTCCTGTAGCAGCATCTTACATTTTGTAGGGGCGAATCGCATGCCAAACATACGAAGATTGCTGCTCAAGGTGTTCAGAAGACTCTGCATTTTGTCAGCATCCTCCCCTAACAGGACTATGTCATCTGCATATTCTAAGTCCATAAGACTATTCCCTGGTAACAAGTCGATTCCTGAGTCACTACGTTCAGTTAAGGATACTTCCATTAGCATTTCTATGATGAAGTTAAACAGAAATGGGGAAAGTGGACATCCCTGTCGGACACCACTGGTTGTTACCAATTCAGATGACAATTCCCCATAAGCCCTTACACGACTACGTGAGTTTGAATAGAGTGCCTTGATTAGTGCAATGTACTTTCTTGGCACTCCCTTCACAGTCAGACATTGCCATAGTACCTTTCGATCCACGGCGTCGAAGGCCGCCTTCAAGTCAAGAAATATGGCAATTGTTGGACGCCGAAAAGTGTGTCTATGTTCTAGAATCTGTCGAAGAGTGAAGATATGATCTATGCACCCTCTACCTGGTCTAAAGCCTGCTTGATTTTCCCTTGTCTGTTCCTCCCGAAGAACAATTAATTCAGTCGAATAAGGCTGACATTTTAGCTCGGAAACAAACAAACTTAAAGGAAGTTCCATTAATAGAAAAATAGGGACTTAAGAGAAGTGTTTTACAAGTATGCTCAAAACGTCTTGTACTCTTCAGTATAAAAAGATTCTGGTTCGGCTTGTAGTCTCCAATTAGCACTACTTCTTGTCTTCCTAAAACCATTTTTACTATGTAAAAGTAATGCATTCCTTTCTATTTAATGGTTTAGTGTCGCAATACGTCTAGACACGTGCATAAGGGTACACTGCTATAGCAGATGCAACCGTTATTGTAATTTCGTCATTTTAGTCTATATTTTTCAAAACAAAGGCCAACTATACTGATATACTAAAGTGATGAGTTAGTTTCCATTGCCATTCGGGGATGATTACAGTTTCACTTAACCATTCCGACAAACCCTTATCGTGCTTTTTATAACCAGAAAGCTGTTTCATTTAGGAATACAGTGCATTACCTCCATAATTATTTCAAACTATTTTGAATGTAGATTATTGCACAACGCCGCTAATTTTTCAAAAAAAACAACAACTGGGTGTTATACACTGACCTAATGAGTATAAAAAGTTCTTCAGTTGCTAATAAGTTGTTTTCTATATTTTTTTTAAATACTTAACAGGCAAGCTGTCAATGTTTGGAAGGAGAAAACTTCAAATGTCCATCATGCAATAAAATGGGAACACAAACGTGTCTTCGCTGTAAAGTGTCCTTTTGTGATGATCACTGTAAAAGGAAGGGCGTTAAATATGAGCGTGGGAAACCTATTCCTTGTCCGAAATGCAATCATGATCTAACAGCCAGTTACAACTTAAGCATGTCGGGTGAGTACTACCTAAATAAATATCATCTACGACTGCAGCTTAGTGTGCAGATATATTATACACTTATAAACGAGTTTGTCCTGAAATGTGGATGCCTTTCAGTCACCTTCGAAACTAGAGCTTACAACCGGTTTACAGAAGCAATAACTCAAAGTCTAAATTTTATCAATCAGCTGTAAAAATTCGAATCTTATTCGTGTGGAGGTGAACCCAAATATATGTTAAGTTCTAGAATATCTACCTCGGGATTCTTTGATTTTGTCGGTGCTATTTTAATTCAAGTGTTGGTTTGTAGGGATCTGATTGGTTGCAGGATTTCATCATGAGCTGACATCAGTTAGAGAACCATTGGAAAACCTGGGAGTACTTAACAGCTGTTTCGTCCTAGTTTGAGACTCTTCATCAGTACGCACCCACCGGGATTCGAACCCAGGACCTTCTGGTTACAAGGCCAGCGAGCTCGTAGACCATTAAGCCACTGGGACACGATCCAATGGCCCATGAATTCCAACTTCTGCCAATTCACAACATAGTGTGACTGGCACTAGCCAGTGTCATTGCTGGCAAGTATTTGTCCTCACACCCGACCCGCTGTACCCTACTGGCTACGACTTCTCACTAGAACCCCAGGTAGCCACCTGTCTGAATAGGGCAAGTCGCTAGTGAGCATCTCATTGATATTCAAGTGTTGGTTTGTAGGGATTTGATTGGTTACAGGATTTCACCATGAGCTGACGTTAGTTAGAGTTAGCTATTTTAATTATTGTTTTCGTCTTAATTAACATGCTTACTAGATGTTGTTTTGACGAAAATGACAAAGCTTCCAAACCGGATAGTCTTAACTCTTAACTAATTACTTATTTTCGTTACCACTGACATTTCTTTTAGTTCGTACTTACGAATACGGTCGTCAAGCGTATACAACAGATAACTATTCAGACGAAGATACAACTAGTGAAGATGACGAAGAACAGTACTCTGGAAATTCAGAAGACAACGAACATGTTAATGTCGCTGATGATAATAGTGATAATGATTATAATTTGTCAGAAAAATTAATTATTAAAAATTAATAAGTACAATCAATAAATTAAAGTCTTATTATTTGAGTTAGGAGTGAAATTACCATAGCCAAGAAAGTAAGTCCAATAAAATAGTGCAGTTATTATTGCCTAGAAGAATTTTTTTTAAATCACTCTGTATCAAAAGGTTCCACATAGTTTCCTGGAAATAGTCCAGTTATACCATTCATAACCCCTTCCCACCAACCGTCATCATTCTTTTTAATTACGTATATTATTTGATTCTCGGTAAACGTCAGCTCGTCGTCTTTATCACGTACATATTCATACATTGTGATTACTGTATAAAGGGAAAAAATAACAAGATAATTAGACACATCCTTCCCCCCAAAAATGTGGATATTATGTTTAAATATAAAATAACAGATACTATTGATTAAAAATTAACAGTCACTATATAAAAATAAACCGAATTACACAGTTCAGTGCCTAGATTATGAAATTGGTGATACAAATATCAGAGTAGATTTGACTAGATTGTATTATAGCCGAAATGCTAACTACAAACTAGACATAGAATATGATTGACTGGAAGTTAGCTAACATGTCAAATCACTCGTGGTATCAGTCAATACATCGAAAATGATTATCAAGGTGCATACTTCTTCAGTGATATTGGTTGAAAGGCTTACTCTTGACATTCGATGTATGGATAACACATAATAATGCAACGAAAGTTGGTAGGATTTCTGCAACAGAAAATATAATATAATTTTAACGACTAATCCTAGTTCATTATCACTTACAAGCGAAATATTTCCGAGTGTCTATTCGCACTCTATGTGTCGAGCAGAGAAAATGAAAGTTATGTTTAAAGTTGATCATTTCATACCTTGTTCAATATAGAAATCTGGTGCCCAGGCTGGGTCAGTAGGTTTTCTCTGTATTAGTTTACTATTTTGAATGGTAAGTGAATCAGTGAAATCTGTTTCTTGCTGCTTTCCAAATTGTGATTCCTGTTCATTTTCGTAGCAGAATGCTCCAGGTGGTGGTATAGTTAAATGTTCATCGGATGGTTCATCCATAGTTTTAGTGTTAAAATTTTGCTGCTGTGGTTGCTGATTAGAAACTGCGGGACCAGAAATATTCAGTTTGTTCATCTAATAATAAGAAATAACAGAATTACATTGATATCAATGTATATTTTATGAAACTGGATAAGTTACTCGCATAAAACTTGAGATTTAAGCTAAGCCAAAAAAGTAACTCCAAATTATGTACATGTAAAAGAATGTAGCCAAGTCTTGATCATGAGGAATACTCTAAATTATCTGTAAGATGACGAAATATAGAGCAGTTATTTATTATGTTTAACTTTTAACTGAAAGATTAAGTTTGACATGATAGCGATTGGCGCTACTAGATTTGTTTTGTAACAACCGCGAAATTCCATGTTTGTTTGATGCTCTCATTTAAACCTCAGTCTTAAGGGTTGGCTATCGATGAAACGTGCGGGAAGACAACCAAATTCAACAAAGGACTTGAGACCACTAAACGGTAGTCCAAGTTGCTAAACTTTCCTTACTCTTGTATATTAAGTAGAGGATGAAAAGAAAGTAATATGGATAATATGTGCTATAATTGCTGTAGTACAACAGGGGAAAATGTAACGATCATAGCGCAGCAATATATTATAATCAAAAGAAAGACAAAGCATCTGTGTCGGTTTCGGGACATATCCTCCATAGTCTGTAACCATAGGTCATGTGTAATTATAGCCAGGGGGTCTACGCCATTTGATGAATAAGTTATGAGCTTCGTTTTGAATACTCCTTACTTTTTTCAATATAGTCACTTTTCAGCTTGTGATGAGTAACATACGCTGCAGTTGTTTTACCGTCACATAAACCCTTAATACACCACCGGATATTTTGCCTAAGTTATGCGGTGGCATTTAGAGGTTACGATAAGCATACATGATTCTTGAGTGTGTTGTTCATCAGCCACCAGTGGTTTTTTTTAGCAGTTTCTTAAAGATCAGAAGCACTATGCATCACGCTTCTTTGATTGGACACTAGTTGGTAACTAGTGTGACGTATCTAATCCTCTCTAGTGTCCAATTGGAAGTATCCAATAATGTCCTACAGGTCAATCGCGAGCCCGAACAGCTCAGTCGTAACGTCTCTGACTGCAGCACTGGGTGACGCGGGTTCGAATCTCAGGAGAGACATGAGTTCCTTCACGGCTGCAGATGCGCCTTACTGACGTGCTAACTAGTACGAAACCTAGGTCCAGGGCTTCCTGCCGATCGCCTCCAACTATCTAACATCAATCTTCTTTAAAATGGGTAACACTGTTTTGTCCACCCAACAGTCTGACCGCTTCCTTTTTAAATGTAGCTATAATATATGCATGATTAAAATTAACTCCGAGAGGTTCAACAAATATTGCACCAATTAAGGTGCACACAAAAGCATACATAGAGCAGTCCGGTGCCATTATACTTAGTATGTGCTTCGAACAGAATGACAGTCTTCTACTGAACTATTGAAACTGCAGTTTATAGCAACATGTTCCACTTGAGTCCAGCTTTGAGATACCAAAGTGCCTGTCTCTCTGAAATTATTACCAGCTGATAACAGTTTTAACAAGTGATTTATATCATCGGTTTACCGTGCTTGCTATGCGAAAGTATCACGCAACTTCTCAACTTGTATACTAAGGCGTCCACCTACTATAAACACGTTGGAATATTTAGCCTTCCACACAGCTTCCACTAGGACTTGCACTGTGCATCATGTCGGTTACGATTAAAGGATGCGTTGATGTAGGTCTTAAAATGCACTGGTATGTCATTAGTTCTAACAACCTATTAAACAACGTATTTAGCTTGAACGTTGCTCGAAAGAAATACCTTACAGCCGTTACAGTTTCATCTGCTGGAAGGGGAACATAGTCCTCAGACTCATACTGTAACAATAACTACTTTAAACCAACCTTTAAAACATAATAAGACGCTCAGGACCAGAAGGTATTGCTGAAATGGGCGTTGCAATATTCAAGAGCGAGAACGATGTCTACGTGCCAACTGTCAGCTGTTTCAGCATTTTCATTACAATAATAGTAATAGTAAAAATAATAGTTCTAATGAAAACGTGACGAAATTTACCTTATCAGTATTTCTGTTCATCTCTGCACTTGACTGTTTCTGATAAATAACTGAATCTCGAATATTTTGTTGTTGATACTGCTGCAGTTGTATTTGTTGTTGAGCCTGTTGTTGCATCTGTAATTGTTGTGATTGAGGAATTTCTGAAGCATCCCCCATTTGCGACACATTAGCCAACTTGTGTTGCTGGTTTTGTCGCATGTGTAGTTGGCCACTTAATTCGTTTCTGCCAGAAAGTGAATTTTGTTGATCATGACCATGTGTAGGCTGAGATGCAGTTCCGCTAATGGGATGACTAATTTGTGAAGCCATATACTGGGATTGCATATTAGGCTGTCGTTAAACACATACACAACTTGTTTACTAACAAGCATTTATGCCGTGTAATGAGAATATACAAAGTGAGTGGTTTTTGTTACCTTATCTTTACTGTTAATCGTCTATATGCACTGGTGCATAATCAAGATATACAATAAACTCTGACTTGATAACCAGAGTAATCATAAACTAAAAATCCAAGAAAATGTGCAAACTAATATAAAGAAAGCCGTCAGCCGTACGCTACAACTGGACTAACCGTATCCGACTGACCAAGGAGTTAATGTAAAATTTGTAAAACTTTGCGCAGATATACGTCAGTGCAAGCTTCTACACCACGAGACGGCACTTAAGAGAAGAAAGCATAAGTGTAATGCTAATGCAGTAGACAAAATTTGTACAAGTGAACAATTTAGTGAAAAATTGTGATGTTCATAATTCCGACAACAGTATGCTGAATTGTAAATGTAGGACTGCACAAAAGTGTAGCGCTTCAAGTTGTCATATTCATAACAGCACACAAGAAAGGTAGGGAAAAGAAATGTATCGGATAACTAAATTGATAATGAGAATTTAATCGGACTGGAATATCACAAGGAGTGAATACATCTCGGCTGTTCAGAACGACTTGACTCATGCCACCAGACCACTGATTCTTAATATCTCAAGGACGCCAGCCAGACAGTTTAGACCTCCCTACGTGGCTAAAAGCAATGATCAGACACTTAATGGATGATTGATTTTGTCTGACCACTCCTAACTATTCTCCAATTAATTCCATGTCAACTAACATTACTCGTCGAGGAAGGTGATCAGAAGCAAACATAACACGTCAATGCTAGCCTTTACCATACTGTTATGAAATACAAGTTACTGTGTAAAGAATACCCGTGTCACAACGGCTGCGGAAATACTGCTACACAAATAAAATGCAATAGTTAAACGATTATCGACCTATTTCATCTGCGTAATTTACTTTACTTTTACTTTACTTCGGCTATCTCCTACGGGAGGATGAGCCGGCTTCATGAACGAGTTCATGAAGTTTCTTGGGAATTTGGTACGAGTGATGTCCCCAGCATCGCTCGGATCTGCGTAATCCCCTAAACGAATAGTCTTTTCTAAGTGCTTTACTAAGCTTTACGTTGGTATCCTTTACGTTTTCTAGCATAAAAGCTCTATAAACGCTAGTGAAGGTTATGGAGTAAGTTCGGATCTATTAGCATTATTTCCTTCATTTCTGCACATTCGAAGGACCTGGCAAATTTGAGTTTAAAAATCAAGAGTTCCGTAGAGACTGGTTAAAAGTACAGAACTGTCAGTTTAAATTGCGGTAGCATATGTTCCGGAATATTTGTACCAATCTGGTATCTGCCAGTGTACTGTGAAAGTTCCAAAACACTCATTCAAAGGGTCATCTTCGTAGTCGACGACTATGTAGATTCCTTAAAGGTTTTCCATTGCTGCAATTCACAAGTTACATTGTATAGCAGCTCCTTATTGTAGAGAATAACGCAACAGACTGCATTCTCAGACCATTGGAGTGCATACAGTAGTGTTTCCTCAACACTAAACAGAGTGCTAATCAAATATGAACGAGAAGTAAACACTGCTTACTTTATTATATGCAACTTGAGAACCATGCATTAACTGTTCAGAGTTAGATGATTGAATATGAGGCTGACTTGAAGCATACTGGCCATGATGATATTGTATAACATTAGAACCTGCACCAGATGATCCACTGGATTTGCGTGACCGAACATTACCTGTGGTGTTACACATGGGATCAAGGTTGGTACCACGATTGTTCACATTAGAACCTACTCCTGTAGCATAGTTTGGAGATGACATACCGCCAACATAACTACTAGTTCCACCTCCCATATGCTGCATCACCATATTGGCATTTAAAAATTGTTGTGATGGCATCACACCACCACGACAAATTACTGGGGCTCGTCCAACTGTTCCAGCTTTAAAAAGACATAGGAAAGATGTCGAAATATTAACATACTAAGGGAAATAAACTCTGAGAAATAAATCTTTTAATTCACGACACTCTTTCTCTGAAGTGACTATAGTTTATGACTGGTTTCAACACAGAAATTCGCACAGTTGTGCAGCAGTTTGAGTTGCCAAACCCCATGTCGCACAAAAAACAAGAGAAGAGAGTAAGTAGAGGTTAAAAAGAAAGATAATAAACAGAAGTGGAAAAGGGAAAAAGTAGTAATATGGAAAAACAATAACCTTTTATTACATGTGATAAATTATAAAGAGTGAATACATCTGCGCTATTGAGAGTGATATTGAGTCATATCACCAGTTCTCTACAGCTGTCATTGGTTTTTACCATCCCCAGGACCCCAACCAGTCAGGTAGTCTACACCTCCCAATGTGGCTTAAAATAACTGTTGTGAATTCCATTGGCTGATGAAACCATGTTTTCGTTTGGCCACCACTAGCCCTTTTCCACCTGACCCTATGTCAGCTAACATTGCCCGTCGACGAAGTCAATGGCCAGGCATACGTAACGCATGGCCTAACCATCTAAGTCGATGTAGCTTCACAGCCTCGTCGACTGATTTTCTCTCCTTACCTAAAATTCGACATCTAATCTCAGTATTGCTCACTCTATTATACCACTTCACCCGGGAAATAGAATGCAGGTACCTATGATCAAAGACAGTTAGCCTTTTTATGTCTTCCAATTGCAATGGGCAGTTCTGACTGACAGCGATGAAGGAGGACGGAGCGGACTGCTGAGCAGTACACACGCCCTTTGATCGACAGCCAGAAATCAGTTCGGATGAGGTGATAGAAATCTAATGGCTTTTACTAACTTTAGGTTTCACGTTATTAACAGCTTTTACAGCTGTGCCTACAGCTAACTGTATGTTGTGCCAGGCTACCTCAGAAGTCCTGCTGTCGACCTCAAATACTTGTTTCGCTATTTCTTCCTTAAATAGGGACTCAGTTTCTCGATCTAGTTGGGGGCGTAACTGTTTCGCTACCGTCAACTTCTTATATCCGTTTAGTCGTAAGCATAAACGTGCGCGAACCAGAACGTGATCAGAGTCTACACACGTGTTCCAGAAGGAGCGACAGTCTTCTACTGACCCTCGCCAACGATACCCTATCTGTCTATCTGAGTCCAACGTTGATTTAGTGATGGAGGTCCCCAGGTTACACAATGTCTCTCTTTGTGCCTAAAGTTAACGCTGACATCCCTGTTCCCCAGCAGTACGACTTCGCCACAGACCCACAGCATAGCGTACAAAAATTCTTCCACTATACCAGTAACTGCTTTTAGCCTAATCGTTATCCTAACAACCTTCCTGGCACGGTAGGACCTGCAGGAACAATAGTTCCGGCCAGTGTAACTTGTTGGGTCATTGGGATATGCAAGCCTAACCACCACCTCAAGGTAGCAGCTATCGGTCGGGTTGCATCAGAGTTTAAGGTGGCAGACTGACTGAGCGTTCAGTTACAGTAGAATAAGCCAGTGTTACCGGTAAACTTCAAAAATGGCATGTAATATATGTGGTAATTAGCAAAGTACTAAGTGGTTGCGATATGCATAACATAACACTTCGAAGGTTTAAAAGTATGCGAAAATGATTTCTAGAGTGTTGGGTTCCGTTTAAACTGTGAATGCAGGGAGCATGTGCTTAGCCGAATGTTCGAACAACCATAGATTGTAAGCTAACAAGTGTTGCTTTACTGAATATGTTGGATATTTTATTTCTTTTCAAACATAATAAGTCTCTGAAGTTGTTTTCAGTGGATACGTTTTAGTCAAGGCTCCCTAGTATCACTAAAGCTGTGTACAAAAGTGCCTCAGGTAGCACGAGGACATGCAATCAATTTTCTCCAGTATGCTAAATTAGTGATGAAGTCGAGCAAAGTTGTCTTGAAAAATTCATCGGACATCGCTGAGAGCATAGTGCTGCTACCTGAAGGAAGAGTTTTTAACCTTGAGAATTAAAGCAGAAACATGTAACGTTTAACTACAGCACGAGTCCTGACTAGTCAGTCAGCAGTTGATGTGCTCTGTGCTTCGTACTATAGAATTTAAAATACTTTTACGGGTTAACAAGACATTTGAGCTGAAAGAATTGAAGTGGTCAAAATTTTCATCAATTAGGTGTAATTTTTGTATTATAGCAGAAACGTGACTGACGAAGTGAAGCTGTGTCAGATGATCACCTGGTGGTTTACTGTAACTTCCTTGATATAACCCAGTGGCTAAAACAATATCAGGCGTGACTATGAGTGACAATTAGTGCTTATCATTGAAAAATTACACAAAACTAGTGAAAACTGTATGAATATATCCTTTTCAACAATTTGCCTATCGTTCATTTATTCTTTGCATAATGATCTTATAGTCTAATGTGTAGCGCTTCTTGACGCCAACGCTAGATAGTCAAAAATTCAAGAAATTATCGCTAAGTAAATCGACTATTAAAGTAAGCCATGCCTCTCGAATTAGAGACGCGGTTTTAATAATCACTGACACACGAATGCTGGCGCAAATGAAATGACATATGTCTTTTGCTGGCTCATTTCTGTGCTTTGAAGCTGGTGCTAATATTACCCAGGAGCAAACAAATAATAAAATTAAGGAAATGTTTACAGGAATATTTATTACAGTAAACAACTAGAAAACAAGTTTAATAAACAGTCAAAACGTACCTTGTGACCTCATAGTACCTGCAGGTGCTGCATACTCGAGACAGGGTTTTGGATTGGCTATACGACAAGAAATTGTACTGTGCTGCCGACCAGGGAGCTGATTACTGACTGAAGCACTACTGCGTCTGGTTAAAGTAGCAGTTTGCATGTAAGGTTGCCCATAATGATTAATAATGGGATCCTACCATTTCCAACAAAAATAAAATATGTAGCGGAAAAATTTCGAACTTTGCTAATTAATGTCAGTAAAACTTTAACTTTGCCGGCAACTAGCCTTGAGACTGGTTCGCTTTCATCTTTAGCAATAGTGGCAGACACAACCGATGGTGTATGTATGATACACGTGCTTGCTTTCGCTCAGCTGGTGGCGGAACATATTGTTAATTGCATCCCAGCCGTAAAGCGTTAATGTGTAGACAGATACGAAAAAAACGAACATTTTATGGCCAGTTGCTTATCACTGTAGTATAACTATCTACCTCAATAGCACGGTCGGCAGTTGTATGTGTGTTGTCAGGCTGGACGGATCCGTTAGAAGAAGGGAGGACTATGATACTCGTCGATATCTTCGCATGATCTCCGCTTACAACCCAACCATCTGCAGTTTGGACAAATCCTACCAAAAGCTGTCTAGTCAGCTTCTAAAAGTAAGACGATCAAAAATAGTCATTTTTGTAGGTGACTTCAGTACAGAAGAACGAAGCTGTACCATTTAAAGGAGTATACCAGTGGCGACGAATCAACAGTGGTGATCATCTTCTATATTTCTGTTCAGGTACTCATATGTTTGTGGTCAACCCTAACTTAATAAAAAAGACACTGCCTAACCTAGTGACGTCTATCATCAAATCGACGATGGACTCAAACAGACCATAGACCGACAAGCTATTGATGGGTGGTGTGGTAGAAAACTGCTGCTGGAACACCTGTGTAAACTTCAATCAATCTAGTGCGTGCATGCATATGCCTGTGACTGAACGGACACAGGAAACAGGTAGGTATGAAAACGATACGCCTCAACTTGGTGAGAATACAAATTATTTTAGGGGAGAAATAACTAAACGCATATCTGAGATTGACAGCAAGACTCACCCTGGGGAAGCATGGTATAATGCTCAGTCAGCCAAAGAAACAGTGATAAATGTCGTAAATAACTGAAAACTAAAGGTTAGTAAAGACTAGTGGATTTCTTTCGCTTCATCCGAACTTATGAACGCACGAAGACTGGCACTGGAGGGCTTCGAATATGACATGGAGCGAAAGGTGCTCGAATGCGAAACTGACCAAAAGTCACTGCAAGGACGGTGAACAACGGCGGGCAATAGAAGCCAAAGGGATTGGAAATGGCGTCCGCGGTAAATGACTCCAGACACTTATTTTAAATTATTTGGGAAACAAGTGTAAAAAGCAGTGAAACTATTTCCTCTGGGGATAGGGAACTGAATCGTTGAAAGGGACACTATTAGAAGCAACTTAAATGACCTACAGTCACTCACAATTTGCCCAGCATCTAACAACTATCTGCTTGGGATATGGACACCCGTCCTTCAACTGTAGCTGAGATTGCGAAAGCGTTATCCTTCCAGTTTTGTAGTAACAACCCCGCTGTGAGGCAGTGAACAGGACTTACCTAACAGAGGCTGCAAACTAGTCAATAACAAGAACCATATGAATGGGAAGTACTTGTACGATATGGACTTATTTGAAAGCGTGTAAAAGAATACCCATAAGTAGATAAAAATACCGACTAAAATGTAATTAGACTTAATAACAGAAAAACTGGTAAATACATAGTATGACGTGGAATAATATGTTGTTAAAACAATGGTAACAATTAAAACGACTGTATAAAATATGAATTTCTAGTTGTTAATTCCACAGTTAACACGTAAATCTAACCCTACAGCAGATGCGCTAGATGAATGTTTAGATATCTTGACTTCCGATAAGAGAAGGTATGTGTCCGTATACAAGTTTAAAGCAGGAAATAAAACCAGAGTAGAATGTGTCAAAACTTAACAAACCAAACAACTATGCTAAAATGTTGCAAAAACGTAACTTTTGTACCTCAAAAGGTGTAGTAGAACCTCTTTTTACGTTTCTGCAATGGCTGCATGTAACAAAAATAACACAACAATTAAAAATACAGTTACCGTATGTTAGGAAATACGTTAATATAATTACTATGGGTATCAGAAAATTCAAAAACATTACTGTAAATATCGCTTTAGCTCAACTAATACGACAGCTGCATGAGTTTGTATCATTGAAATATCTCCGTACTAACTATACCGAACCGTTTCCGATACACACACAAAAGTATGCATAGTTTCAACTAATGACGCTCATATATCACAACACTAATTTTCCAACTTACATACAAAAAGAGATAATACACGCGACTTTTCGGCTCAAGCAGTAAACATATTTACTACTGATGCTATTGGATGTTAGGTGTGATAACAATATTAAGATTCTAAAAACAACCAAGTGAAAATGCATGTTTTTGATCGAACAAAAAAGCGGTCAAAACCGATGTCATCAGACTACTTTGGTTTTGGAATTATAAATCCCTTTCTAGAAATGAGACAAGTTATGAAAACAACCACGAAACCCTACTTCCTCAATAAGCTATACTCGAGAGGGTGCATTATTAGTGCACAAGTTAAATTAACTCATGGTTTCCAGAGTTGACTCCACAACTGGGGAGATGTGAAGTGCTTCAGGTTAACGTTTCTTGAATCCCCTTCCACGAAATACGCAGCATAGTCGGTATGTACGTCACTTGAAAGATATATTTCATTGCCATTACATGCTCATACGACAAACTCAAGGATCTCCGACACTAAAAATTTACTCCTTCGAGTCAAAACAGTTAGTTTCGCTATTACTGCGAGGCGTCTCTGAAAAAGATTAACCAAATACGTTCAGTGACTGTCTAGATATCTTGATTGTTCTAATACCTAAGGCTATAAGGATAATTTGCAACTTAGCATGAGTATAATAACTGACAACTGTTCCCTAAGTTTTTCTACATATATGACGATAGCATGAAAATGCCTAAAACCAACGAACAGCAAACAGTTAAAATGGCTTCCTCCCAAACAAAAGACCGGTTCGATATTTTAGGCTGACTAGCATTACAATCTAATTATCCCGATACTGATGTTATCACAGATCGTAAATACGAAATCTATACTGATGGTTGACACAAAAATGATCAAACTATGGACATATACATAATCCCTTAGTCAACTTTCAAAGCTCTGGTTTCACACTGCTCATGAGAACCCTTTTAGCTGATTAAATCGTATTTTTGAACAAAATTTGTGTCCTTTTACCTTAGTATGACAATTCACTGAAGTACAAAGCAGAAGGATTGTCTAAATGGGGATTTTTTCGATATTGAAGTACAAAAGCTGGAAGGTTCATACTTTAAATATTTTGTCGGATCGGGCAGTACACACTTTGATCCAGACCTCACCTACCAAAGTTCTGGTGGTCATATGGCACTATCATCTTTCACATCACAAGTATGAACTATTGGTAAGTTCATACGTGGCTGCTGACCAACAGTATTCTTATTATATATAACCATCCGTGATATCATCTGCTCAAAGAAGAGATGAAACCAGATGAAGAACAGCAAGACAAGAAGACAATCAACCGAATTGTTCCAAAACAACTAATTAAAATATCAATGCGTTAATGACACTAGGTGGATGACATAACACCTTTCTCAAAGTAAAACATGATACGGTAAATGTGTTAAACACGACAGTAGTCCAAATATAATGAAAACACCACAAGAATGTCGATATTATTTTCGCAGTGACCTCGAATTCTGTGAAACTATAAGAACAAATGTATAATTTCACTTTGAGACCAATTTCTTGTCTACATATTGCTTCTTTCATCCATTGAGTCAGAGTGGATTCATCCAAGCAATTCTCAAATGACGATTAAAGATGGCTATATGTCACAATGAGGTTTCGTAAATTCATACCACCTCCGAGGAGATACGACTTCTTCTTAAGCAGATGTATCCGATGAAAGATATTACTCACTAATGCCTTAATTCGTCTGTACAGTATATATTTCACTAGCGACTCAGTTTTCAGAACCAGCTCAAAGAGTGGAGACAAATAGAGAGGTTAACCACTTATCATACATCATGAAGTGTGGAATACCACTTAACATAATCCAAAAGATTGGGAGGGGCGGGTCATAGCTCTTGTCTGCATCTGAGCATATTAATAGCATTAAATACGCTAAATAATTCGAAAAGTAGGACTAAGTGTATCATTACTAATACCAAAGTATGGAGGTGAGAAATAAGACTAATGATCGCCACTCACCTGACTAGGTATGCCATGGCCGATATTATCCAAAATTGAGAAGTTGATTGGTTGTCGGATGTACTTTTGTGGAGGTTCAGGAAGCACTGTTTCATGTTGATATACAACAGGAACCTTCGAAACTGTGCATGATCCTACGGCCTTTCGAGCAACTTTCTCTTGATATATATTGCACACCTTTATAGTAGGTTAAGAAAAATAGTCCTACAAACCATTTTTAATTTAGAAATTTTGTCTGAAACATCGCCAATCTGATACAGCTGGAAATCAAGTGCTTCAAGAAACTGATTGGCGAAGCGGTTGACTTCATGAGCAACTGCACACACAGACTGCGTAGCTAGTTCCAAACTCTCATCAAGAGTATTAACCCCAGGATTCACCTAACTTAGTTTTCACAAATTTTAACTTATACCAAGTATTTCTCCGAACAAAATGCGGCAGCCTTCTCAATGTTAGAGCTCGTTGACAGCAATCTACTTTTCACGTCTGCAAGCTTGTTTTCTATTCCTCTCATAATTCATATGAGAATGCCGTCAACAACCCCTACCAGCAAACATAATAGCTAGTGACCTTGGTAATTCGAAATCACCACGTCTGTTGAAATGAAACGAGATTGGAATGGTGAAGATAAGTCGTATAATTCCCATTTTGAAGACAATGTTTTTAGGAAAGAAAATACATGGTCCTTCATTTCAACCTTTTATACCTAGTGAACAAGAATACAAACATTTAAATGGATGAGTTCCTTGAGTAATTAGCTGAAATTGTATTCCGACAATACAATAAGATGTAGGTTATCTGAAACGTGTAATGTGTTTGCGCAACACATTTCGGACATTCTGATCACACACACACTGGTCATATCCAGTTTTCATAGAAGGCAAGAAGGCGTGAATAGTTACAATACAGGTCAGATTTTGTACAGGTCAAGGTCACAAATAATGGGTAGGGAGACTCAAGGGTGTGGGGAGTACGTAACAGTATGATTGTACACTTTCTGTTAGATGTTGAAATTAGAGACATTGTACATGATTTTTGTTTAAAACGATTCATGTTAAAATACACTTAACTTCCGAGTACAATTCCAAACACAATATACTGTTGGAAGCTTCAATATCTCTCTGGCCATTACTTTGAACTTGCTCCACTCATACCGCGTTGTATGCTTTGAATTTATTGCATGAATCTATTATTCTTATCCGAAGACAACTCTACAACCGGTTCACAGCTTCTACCAGTAGACACGATTCCAACAGTGAACGATTCCGTGGATTATATAAATAATTTGTAGAAGCGGACTTTAACATAATATCCAAATCACCTTCCTATTAATATTATTCATTATTGCATTTTTAATAACATATTGTTGCAATATCATCTCAGTGACTTGGATTTTTATGTGTATATTTGTTATGTTAATGAGCTCTCACTAAACAGTCCCTACAGGTGTAGGCAAGAAAGACAAAAAGAGAAAAAACAAAGCAAAGAATGGGTTGAAAATACTATGAAGTAAATGGGTCTTTGGTTCTTAATTGGGGTACCAAGGCAGGTTTCAGGTAATAACAAATAACTTTTGGACACATAAGACAGATTTGAGTCTTTTTAAGGCTAAGGCTTCGACGAATTTAAGTATGTGGCCCAAACTTGTTTTATATATGGGCTTAAAGGCATTGTTGAAATAAAGCTTATGGCTAAACTTCTTAATGTAAGGAGCAAGACGAAATATTCTTTTAGAAATCGCTAAGAAATAGGAAGACCAGGATAGGTCAGAAGGAAGAATTAATCCAAGATACTTAACGTCAGACTTGGTTCCTACATCACTATCATCAAATTATCAATCGTGAAACGGTCATGGAAACCAACAGCTTCATGTAACTTTCGTTTACATTGGAAGCTGAAATTAACAGTCTGACATTTGGACGGATTTAGTTTAAGGCCATTAGACGAAGACCATTCGCTAATTCCTGACAGAAGGCTGTTCATCTTAGCACAGTCTAGCAGGGAGTTAACAGACATTGGAATAGTTACATCGTCCGCATATTTAATAAATTTCATTTCATCAGAGTGGGAAGAGTCGTGCAAAAAGAAGGAAAACAGAAAAGGAGAAATGATAGCGTCTTGAGGGACACCAACCCCAGCAAGCAACGAAGTGGGCGACACTTCCTGACATACAGGGTACTGCTTTCTTCCTGAGAAATAAGAATGCAGCCATTTGACAACCCAACAGTCAGTTTGAGTTTCAGCAAGCTAGTTTAACAAAATGTCCCTAGGTACTGAATCGAAAGCAGATGTGTAATCTAGGAAGGTGCAGCGAACAAATTTAGCCCCCTTGTCTAAGCTGGAGATAATGTCATACTACAAGACTGCAGCTGCATCTAAAGTACTTCCACTGTATTTATAGGCGAGTTGTTTGGGATCGTTAAAGGCTTTAAGTGAAGGTTGAAGATTAAGTAATAGCGAAGTTTTCCGTAATTTTTAGAAAAGAAGAGGTAGTAGCAATATGTTTAAATTTAAAACATTTTCCGATAAACGACTTAGGTATAGGTACAACTTTAGTGTCCTTCCAAATGGCTGGCACGACATTTCTGGGAAAAGACTCAATAAATAGAGCGACTTTATTGCATATCCCCGCAGTGACGCTTGTTGCTATGTTGCTATTGGTTTCAAGTGGCCTTGGTTTTGGGGGAAGATTTAACTGATGTAATATTGTAATGCAACAGAAACCACTATAATGCCACTAAACAAGTTTCTTTTTCTTCTTTTTCAGAAAGAAACGTCGACGTTGCATCACTGGAACATGAGGAAGACCGGTTATCCAGACTTGTTATGCACGATGATAACTAGCTTGCAACCGGTTAATTCAAGTCTGGCTTGGTTGAAACAAACGTCTCTTCCTCGCCGTCTTTGCCCTCTTCCTTCGTCAGTCGTGACTGTGGTCCGTGTGTGCTATAATACTACGATTCCTTAGACATAACTCAGGCTCATAGGTGAAAGAAAGTTATAATCCTGGAAAAAGAACAAGTTGTTCGTAAGATAAGGAGGACATTATTTTTCAGTTTAGTATATATACTATTGTGTGTCGAGTTGCACTGAGTTCTTAGTGCAACTGTATGTAACTGCATTTACATAAAGTGAAACATTACGAATACTCCTGTTTTTAGAATGAAAAATATAATTATTTTCATTAAGTTTATTAGTGAAGAATGGAATTTCTTCCTCCTCAGTGTTGTTTAATTGAAGTTGTAGTCTGTGTAGGCCCTTGAAGTGATAAATTCGGCACGGAAAACTCCTATGGAAACCGAAAGTACTTCAGTACATTTACTGAATACTCCAGCAGACTTTACATAAAGCAAAAGTTGCAGTGCATAATACCTAGACTTGTTGTAGTCATTGGTATCGCCAGGATACCACTTACTCATTTTATGCAGCCGAAATATACAAATCTCGCTTTATTGAGGAAGCACTATAGTGCCTGCAAAAGTAGTGCGTCAGTTTACGAGTTCCATAGAGTCTACAGAATGTTCTCTATCCAGTGATTACTGTTTGCGAATCATCCGGGAAAACACATTTCCGAGTGGGGTGTAACACAAGGATGAATTCTTAAACTTTCATCCTTATATCAGTTAAATTCAATCACACATATATTAGTAGAATAGTCTGTAATTGACTTTGGAAACTTATCAGGGAATAGTCTCATCAACTCGCAGTTTGCTGATGATATTGTCCACCTGGACTATCAGAAGTAACCCCTGATGCTGGAAAATATGAAAATAATACCGGTGTTTGATTATACGTGTTTGCGTTCTATCTCATGAGTAAAGCGGTATAATATGGTGAGTGCTGTTGAGGTTACGCATAAGTGTTTAGGTGGGGAGGGTAAGTTAGTCTTCAAGGTAGGGAAGCTGAATAGGTTGAGATGGCTATAACACGTGATGACATACCTAGCCATCGCCTTCCTCCAGGGATAATGTTAGCCAGCACATGTTAAGATTCAAAATGTGTTTGGGTCGGTAAAATGAAAAACTGGTATCGGTTCATAAAATCCTTGACAGTCAGCTAGAAAAACTACTACATATATGGCTGCAAATCTTTGTTACTGGCACAGATGCATTCAGTTTGTGTAATCTCACGTGTCTATTCAACTCATCTTTTTCCTTGTCACTATTTATTCACTCCCACATTTTCGCTCGTTAAATTTCCATTTAGTTTTATGTCTCTACCTTTGTGCACTAAATGGAATGTGGTAAATTAAACAGGTGGACTTCTCTGCAAACTCATACTGAAAGCTAGTCAGAATGGCACAGTCGAGACATAATTAAATGCGAAACATTGATAAATGATCTCCGAAATTTCAGCAAATGATAAGTGTAGTTCTTAATCTAAATGAAAAATAGATACCTTTCAGTAATCTCTTCTTCCACCCGGGACTCGTCTCCTACTTCGCAAGAGTTTTTTGTGCTATTTCACTTTTGTGCCGAGCTTTCAGTCAGCATATGCCGTTGTTGTTGACTCAGGGCCTAGATTACTTAAGTTGAATAAGGCTTCAGGCGTGCGAACACGGGTCCTGGGTAGTTGATTGGTTGCATTATCATTTCTCAAATGGAATGCAGCATACTGTATATTAGGCTAAGTCTTCCACCTCGCTTGCTACAGCTGGTGTTCCTCAGGGTATTGTTGTCTCTCCTTTTCTTTTTCTCTCTCGTCTTACATGACTTTTCTCTTTCTAATGAGAGCAACTTCGTCAAATACGCTGGCGATCTGACCGTCTCACTTCCTGTCATGTCACAATGTGACCGCAACAAACTTAACTGCTTCATGTCTGTAGTTTAAGGTACATGGTCTTACGTTAAATCCCTCTAAATGTCAGGCAGTTAACTTTCCCTTCACTCATAAGTGTGAACTACAAGAACTGTGTTGCTCACAAGATGCTTGTATCAAAGAGGGCACTGAAACAGAAATTAAGTCTAACATAAAATACCTTGGAGTAAATCTATCCCATGGTCTTCTTTGGTTATTCTGTATCTTGTCGATTTCCAAGGAAACCGTCAGTCTAGCTTACCACGTTATGTATTCAAGACAGTCAGGAATCATCCAACCTCTATTTTTACAATTTCTTAACTCTTGTATTGGTCTTTAATGCTCCTTCTTATTCTTTCCTGAATAACTCAGAAACGACTATGTCGTATTGTGCAAGGTATTAAGGTTGTCAGTAGGGCAAGTGGTGTACCATTCAGTCAACTCGATAATGCATTAGTTAGAAGACAACCAAACTCATGTGAGAAATGGTCTAAATCTATACTGTCTAACCCTCAACATCCCGTTTATTTTCGGTTACTCCCTTTAATTTCATCCGATGGAACCAAAAGTCAGTATAAAAGATTATGTGATCGTCTTTGGAATTACGTAATTCCAAAAATTGTTGTCGTTTTCATTGGCAGCAGTTCACAACCTATTGAGTTTACACAAGTACAACGCCCATTTCTCACTTTAGTGAGGAGACATCAGCTAGGATTC